ATTGTAACCAGATGATCACTTGTCTAGTTTCTTAACCCTTCTTCCCATTTCCTTCTTTTAACACTCAATCAAAATGGGTAAAATAATAAAAAAAATATCATAAAGGGTAATTTTGCAACTTTGAAATTATTTAATGCATACCTAATGTCACGTGACAGTGTTGACTAATGGTTAACTAACGATGGGGACCTACCTAGACACAATTTGAAAGTTCAGGGTATTGTAGAGACACATTTTGAACTTTGGGGACTGACTTGACACAACCCCCAAAGTTCAAGGTACTGTTTAGGGATTTTCCCTAGATTTTATTATTTGTTTCAAAATATAAAGCTGTATGGAATTTTAAAACATTTGGTCTATTTCTCTAATGTTCAGCCATTTTGGTAGGTTTTTAAGGCTGCATGTGGGAGTGTTTTCTCCCATGTTTTTTTGTACTTTTTACAATGGAGAAGTCAGAAACCAATAAAAAAACCATTTGGTGAAAAAGCTTGAAATGGGCTTTTTGCAACGAAAATTGAAAAGTTTATACTTTTTTCATTTCTATAATAAATAAAAAGAATTTTTATTTAATATGATGAATATATAAACATTAGAAATGTTCCCAAATGTTTTCGACAAAAGTCTATACTTTTTCATTTTTTGTGTTCTATCTTGTTTTTTTCAAATATTTATTATTCAATTATTAGATCATGAGTTTCTTTGAAAAGTTGGATCATTAACCCACTATCTAGATAAGAAAATAGCTTTGCTTTTGGATTAGTTAAAATTGTATTTTTCATCTACATTATATAAATAATTTTTTACTTATGATCATACTTAATTTTTGTTTGACATAATTAATATATAATTTTTATATATTCTTTTGATTACTTGTACTTTTTTTAAAGATTTATTATTTAACTATCATATGATCGATTAATCCATTTGACTCAAACCACTAACCCACCACCAAAAAAGGAAAATAGTTTGATTTCTAAGTTGATATTAAATTTTGTATTACATTTCCGTCATTGATAAAATTATTTCTTAAGTATAATAGTTATTTTTGTTTAATATAATGAATATATAATATTAGAGATGTACCCAATTATAACATTCGATATATGCCCAATTTTTTCTCTATTTTTTATTTTTGTGATTCATTGTATTTTTTATTTTTAAAAATTTTATTACTTGACCATGGCATCATTTCATTTCTAGGTTGATTTTAAACTTGGCATTCCATTGTCACCATTAATAAAAATACTTCTTACATTTCATATTTATTTTTGTTTAATATAATGAATATAAAATATTAGAGATATGCCCAATTCTTTTTTGTATTATATATTTTATTTATTTTAATTTTATTATTTAATTATGTCATTATTTATTAATCCATTTGACCCTAAATGGTTGAATTGTGTACACTTATTAATGCTTAATATGTCGAATATATGATGTTAAAAATGTTCCCATATTTTTTAATTTCTATATTTTTTAATTTTATTATTTAATTGTGGCCACATGGGTTGACCCCTTTGACCCAAAAGGGTTTAATTTCTTACCACTACCTACATGAAAACACTATCTTTTCCAAGTAGATTTTAAAAGTATAAGTTTTTATGTTATTGGAATTATTAATTTATTATATATGGATTTGATTAATAGAATTTAATGATGAGAAGAAACAAAAATGCCTTAAATATATGATTCAATGAAGGTGATTGCAAGTTAATACTTTAAATGTTGGATTTAATGAGAGGGAATTGAATACATTGAATATCTTACAAATTAGCTTTTTTAACTCATTTAATATCAATAATCGATTACCCAATTTTTCCTCATTTTTTTTCAATAAATTTAAATATGGAGGGGTAAATTTTGTTCTCAAAAAATTCCAGAAATATTCTTGTGGCTATTTGTGCTTTTTAAAGTAGTATAGATTTACACAACATATTCAAAATTTGACAAATGCTCAAATCAAGTCCACCCAAGTTGTAGCAATAATGTTGAGTAACCATCTCAGCTATTGTGCCATCATCCTTGTTTCCAAGGGTTCGGTGTGCTATAAAGTGTCAAGAAGTGATGGCAATTTCTACCCTACCTAGTGGATATGCCGTCCCTACCCACTCCAATGGGGAGGATTTTTTTTCCCTTGAAAAATAGATTTTGGGGAGGAAACAGGTTTTGGGATTTTACAACTTGTATGGGTATAGGTAGGGTACAATATTAGGCTAAACCTGACCTTCCCCCCGCCCCCACCCACAAATTGTTGGAAGGCATATTAACTTATGTATTAGGTGTTGAATGTAATAATATTTTGAATTATATGTGAAGAATAATTGATAGTTTGTGTTTTCTACTTGTTTAATCAAATTATTGGAAATTTTGATGTTTGTTCATGCTATTTTACTTGTTTATTACTTATATATAATGGTAAATAATAGGAAATTAGATGTGGGTTCTATACCCAACCCACCAAGGAGGTCGGGTAGGGCTGGGGAGGGTTTTGCATTTTCATGTGCGGAGAGGGTTTGGATTCTGAAAATCTAACCCATTGCTAGTATTGGGGAGGGTACAAATTAGGAAGTCTAGGAAGGCAGATAGGGTCTAGACTTTACGAAACCCACTATGAGCCTGCCTTGTACCATCCCTAATGTGAAACATTGAGCTCCAGAAAGTGACATGGATTTCTTTTAATGAAAATTAGAATTGGCTTTGATTTGAGTAATGCATGGATAAAGGAAACACATAACAAGTCTCTAAAGTTTTAAGCGAGTCAACAATATACAAATATTTGTACAACTGCAGAAGCACATGCTGTAAATGTTGCATATGATGTGCTTGGTGAATTGCATTGTCACATGCTTACATGAAAATGAAGTTAGAGGTGGGATCAACCTGATGGAGCTGTAGGCTCTGTGAGGTTTGAGGAAGGGCGAAATGGCACAAGGGCAAAATGTACCATTTAAACAGGGAAGTTACCTCAGTATTCTAGTCTCTTTGGTGATCTAGACTAGTTGAACTAATTCTTTGACTAGTTTTAGTCTCATTTTTTTCAATTTCAATTGCAGTTTAGGAGTTTTTTTTGTTTTGAGTTGTGAACTGTGTGTTTGCTTAGCGTGCCAAGCCCCGACTCATTGTTGTCTATGTTGACCTTAGTGCTTTCTTGTAACTCTTGTGTGCTCAGTAGCTTTTCTGTATAGGTTTCTGGAGGCGTTTTTCATCCTGGCGGGATGGGAATAAAAGGTGAAAAGAAAAAGAAGCTGAGAACTTTGCAAACAACAATGAGGAAAGGATTAAGAGAGAAAGTCACGCCCTCTAAACTTGTAGGAAGTATGTTTGAACCCAGGCCGGGTAAGAAAAAGACCAGTAAAAAGTAAAAACCTTGGGCATAAATCTAAAGCTTTTGTAGTAGAAGAGAAGGGATTACCTAGTATCAACCTCTTCAGGGGCTACCTTACAAGATATTGGAATAGAGAAGAATCTGAACGTGAGAAACAACATGTTTGTAAATAGAAAGAAGATAAACTCCCAAAACAAGTACATATCATACCGAAAATAGTCAGGAACTATTTGAGAAAAGAAAATAGGACAGATAAACGCAGTGGAGGAAGAGTGATTAACTTGGCTCCGTTGAAGAACCTAACAGATGGAAAAAAAGGATGACGTCCTTGCATGAAGAAGATGGTATGGAAAAGAAAATTAAGGTCGTGGCATTTGAAGAACATAGACCCAATACTTTCACGGAAAAGTGGAAAATGACGAAAGAATTAATTGAAGGGGAACTAAATCTGTTCGAAAAGATGAATGGAAACTCCACAACTAATCAAAACCCAAAATTGAAGTCAAATTTGAACACGAACAGTGAATCAAAAAATTATCCAGCTAGCATGCACCTGTGTCAAAACACTAACAGCCATTCACTGGTTAATAAGGAAGCTAGTGAAAGAGAGATGTAAAATGCCATGGGAAGCTCGTATAACGATGAGGAAGATGAAGAGAGATACAACAAAAAAATAAATGCCGACCATGCAATGGACAACATCACTAGCTCTCTTAGGAGAAGAGTGACATATGACAACACAGGAGTTAATTAAGGGAATTAAGATAGACAAACCGAAGATATGGAAAGATATAGGGATGATAAGCAACTGACGCATGAGGCAAACCTTCTGTTTGTTAGAACCTCAAGTATTAAAAGTAAAACAATGGATGGACAAAAGTCAGAGTGAAGTGGCAGAAGGGAGGAGAGAAAATTTGACAAAGAAGTCGATGAAAGAGATAATAAAGGAAAGGGATGGCAAGGCATTGGCTGATTTGGAACGGGAAAGATGTGAGTGTAATGATAGCATATGTTGCCATTCAAAAAATGAATTTGATTTAGAGCTTTGGAGGTAACCCAACCTCGAGTGAAATTACCCATATGGGAAAGAACAACTAATTCAATGGGAAGAGTAAATGAAGATATGAAGGATCAACAACCAAAATTAGTGACCTCTTTTTAGACGGGAGGTATATTTAAAGGAAACAAGAGTAACATGCAACCAGTCGAACATACTTACCAGAACCTCTATGGGGAAACCGAATAAAAGAAAACTCTGACTTATTGTGAAGTTGCAAAAAAAAGGGATGGTTGAATCGAGTAAGGTGATGAAGTCTTTGATGAACCTCTTCTAAAAAGAGAGAGAAAGGAACTTGCACAGTTAAGGAAATAAAGAACTGTAGAGAGAAGTTCAAAGTCAATGGGCAAATGGTTCGATAATGATTTGATCGAAGCTTGATCTATTTATAGATGACCAGATAAAGATTGAGTACAATACAACTGTTAGAGTTTAAGTTTGTATACAATACTCAAGGGTAAGAGATTAGTTTAAGTTACAACAAAACTTTATCAGATAGAGTCTATCAGGACAGGGAAGAGGAAGCGATTAGACATTAAGTAAAAGTTCATCGCATGCAAGGAACATGCAATGGACTTTAACATGAAGTCTATCGCATGTCTCTAATACACCCCCTCAAGTGAAATGTCCAAGAAGGACATGAAGCTTGGATCTAAGAGAAGTAAACCGAGCTCCACTAAGTGGTTTGGTGAATAGATCAGCCACTTGGTCAGCTGAGTAAATAAACTGAACAAAGAGAGAGCGCTTGAGAATAAGATCACACAAGAAATGGAAATCAACTTCAATATGTTTGGTACGAGCATGGAAAACTAAGTTTGCAGCAAGATATGCGGCACCAATGTTGTCACACCAAACCATAGGAATGCGTGCAGGAGGTTGCTTTAGATCAAGCAATAAGGAGCATATCCAAAGAAGCTCGGTTGCAGCATTTGCACAAACTCGAAATTCAGACTTCGTGCTGGAGTGAGCAATGCTGGCTTGCTTCTTAGAACTCCAAGAAACTAGATTGCGGCCTAGATAATTGAGATAGCCTCTAGTAGAACGTCTGTCATCAAGACAACCGGCCCAATCAGCATCGGAGAAAGCTTGAAGGGTTAGCGGAGCCGGTGTAGAGTGAAAATGCAAACCATGATTAACACTGTGCTTAAGGTATCGAAGTATCCATTTGACAACAGTCCAGTGTTCTATTGTTGGGGAGTGGAGAAACTGACACACCTTGTTCACGGAGAAAGAAATGTCGGGCCTCGTGATGGTAACATATTGAAGAGTGCCAATAATGCTTCGATACTCAGAAGGATTAGGCAGAGGGTCGCCACTAAACTTGGAGAGGTTAGTAGTGATAGCCATAGGAGAAGTGAGAGGTTTAGCTTCAGTCATGTTGGTGTAATGCAAGAGATCCAAGATGTATCATCGTTGAGTAAGAATGATGCCACAGGATTGTGGTGTAATCTCCATGCCAAGGAAGTATCGAGCCGGACCAAGATCCTTTAAGGAGAAGGTATGGCCCAGTGTGGTAACTAGGTCATCAAGAGAAGAAGAGGATGAGCCAGTGAGAAGGATGTCATTGGCATATACTAGCATGTATAGAATGACCAAATCCTTGTGATAAATAAACAAGGACGGGTCTGCTGCTGATATGTGAAAGCCAAGTTGACCATGATGAGTGTTGAGGTGAGAGTACCACGCACATGGGGCCTGTCGAAGACTAGAGCCTTGATAAGTTAGCAAACATAAGAGGGGGAAGCTAGATCCTCGAAACCCTTTGGTTGATGAACACAGATTTCCTTCGACACATAGCCATTTAGGAAAGCATTAAAAAAGTCTAATTGCCGAAGTGGCCAACCAAGAGAAACGACGAGAGCAAGAATGGTGCGAATGGTGACCGGTTTAACCACTGGACTAAAGGTGTCAGTGAAATCAACGCCTAGAACCTGGCTTAACCCTTGTGCAACGAGACGAGCTTTGTAACGATCAACAGAATCATCAGCCCGTCATTTTACTTTGTAAACCCATTTGGTGCCAATGACATTCATGTGTGATTGGTATGGGATGAGCATCCAAGTATTGTTATCTACAAGAGCATTGATTTTATGGGACATAGCTTCGCGCCAAGCAGGATCCTTGTATGCCTTAGAGAAGCAGGATGGTTGAGTATCTGTTAGAGCGACTAAGAGAGCTCTAGGAACCGGGTATCGAGATACACTATTGGATTGTAATGGAAGAGAACCGGTTTGAGACCGAGTAATCATGTTGTGTTGACGTGGAGCCAGTGCCATGGCATTAAGTAACTCTTCTATTAAACGAGTGTTACGCAATGGAGGAGAGGTCGACGATGTTGAAGTTGTTGATGATGGGGCTAGTGATGGTGCTGGGGATGATGGATCTGGAGGATCAGCTGGTCATGCTACCTGTGCAGATGGAGACACATGAATAGTCATATCGGTATGATCTAGTGGAGTAGCCGGAGGAGGAGATATGCTGGCAAATGAGCTCTCATAGAACATCACATGACGTGCAATATATAATCGACCAGAGGAAGGATGTAAGCATTTATATCCTTAGTGGGAGTCACTGTAGCTAATGAATATGCATTGAAGAGACCTATAAGAGAATTTGTTGCAGTTGTATGGCCAGAGAAGAGGATAGAAAGAGCAACCAAAGGTGCAAAGTAGATTGTATTTAGGTGTCTTACCAAACAAGGTGGTAAAGGGAGAAGCACCTTGTAACAGTGATGTAGGAAGTTGATTAATCAAGTAGATAGCAGTGGAGGCAGCACATTCCCAGAAGGAATACGAGAGATTTGAGGAAGCCAGTAGAGACAGGGTAGACTCGATGATATGTCTATGTTTTCGTTCAGCAGCACCGTTTTGTTCATGAGTGTGAGGGCAAGCAACTCGGTGGGTAATGCTGTGAGCAGCCAGAAAGGTAGAAATACATTGATATTCTCCTCCCCAGTCAGATTGCAGACATTTAGTTTTTCTTTCAAACAAAACCTCTACATGACTCTTAAATTGAAGAAAAATCTTGAAAACATCGGATTTATTTTGCATCAAGGCAATCATGTAAACTTACTATAATCATCGACGAAAATTACATAATATCTGCAACCATTATTTGACTGAACTAGGGCAGGATCCCAAACATCTGAATAGATTAACTCTATGGGACTGCTAGACTCACGAATATGTAACGTATGACTTTTACCCAACTGACATGCCTCACAGGCAGAAGAAACATTGCCGGAAGAGAACGGTAACCCAAACTTGGATATTACTTGCCTCACCATGCAAAGGGTAGGATGACCCAATTGTTGATTCCAACCATTTACTGTAGTGCATTCACCAACAAAAGTAGCTGGAGAATTTTTCTTGATGCTAAGACTACCCGGGAAGTAGTAAAGGTCGTCTCTACTGGGTCCTCACAGTATTGTTCTCCCCATATAATCCTTCAAAACATAATAATTGCGATGAAACTCAAAATATATATTATTATCATGAGTAAACTTTCTAACAGATAACCAATTTTCTAAAATAGTAGGAACATGCATTAAATCATTCAACTGAAACAAATGAGAATTGTGAGAGAGAGTAGAAGAACCGATGTGGGCAATTGGCAGACTTGTTCCATTGCCTACTTTCACTTGATCTGAACCACCATATTCAGATCTATTTTGCAGATTGTCAGCATCTGGAATCATGTGATGTGTGGCATTGGAGTTTAGGTACCATGTAAGATCAAAGTTTGAAGAGAACCCTCCATGATAAGCAGTGGGTGTAAATTCTTCAGTTTGTATATTGTTAAAGTTGAAATCATATCGTCGTCGACATTTCAGTGCTTCTGTCTAGGGGTGTTACAAACTTGACAAATAATGGTGGAATGACCACAACCTCTGCCTTCATTATCATTGAAACGACTGTCGCCCCAACCGTGGCCTTTGCCTCGTTTATTTGAAGAAGTTTGGTTCTGCTCTTGGGACGATTGGATTTTGCCTTTGTAGGAAGTGTGATTAGTTACGAGCACAATATCCAGAGGTTGGGTATGATGTTGTTCTAGCTAAGCTTCATGACTGAGCAGAATGCCTAAGACATCATTGATGCATAGTTGATACATATTGGGCCGATTGGTGATATTGGTAACAACTGATTCAAATTCTGGACCTAGTCCAGGTAGCACATAAACTGTAAGATTTGTAGAACTAACAGGATCGACTACAGTATATAGATTATCAGAAAGACATTTGGTGCGATTAATGTATTCAATAATAGATAGAGTACCCTTCTTTGTAATTGTCTGCGCATTTGAAGTATGCGAGAACGATAATGTGCAGAAAAAGGTTTCGCAAGTGCAGTCCATACCTCATGAGAAGACCGAAGGCCTACTACTTGAGAGAAGATCCTTTCCGTGAGTGTGGAGATGATCCAACTAAGAACAAGCTAATCTTTCTGAAACCACTCGGCAAAGGCAGGATTTGGTATGACATTGTTAGGTTGACTCAGATCAGCAATTTATCTTGGAGGAGCCTTGATCGTTCCATCAACAATACCCATGACCCTGTGAGTGTAGAAGGCTGGAAGCAGTTGCGCTTTCCACAGTAGATAGTTTTCTCCCATTAGTTTGATCGAGAGATAGTGTGACGTAGTCGAAATTGAAGAAGTCGTACCACCGGATTAAGGGGTGTTGGACTGAGAACTTTGCGCCGAGTTCTGAACTGAAGCTGTATCACCATTGGAAGCCATGGAGTCGTGGCTCTGATACCAAGTTAAGGAAATAAAGAACTGTAGAGAAAAGTTCAAAGTCAATGGGCAAATGGTTCGATAATGATTTGATCGGACCTTGATCTATTTATAGATGACTAGATAAAGATTGAGTACAATACAACTATTAGAGCTTGAGTTTGTATACAACACTCAAGTTTAAGAGATTAGTTTAAGTTACAACAAAACTCTACTAGATAGAGTCTATCAAGATAAGGAAGAGGAAGCGATTAGACCTTAAGTAAAAGTACATCACATGTAAGGAACATGCGATGGACTTTAACATGAAGTCTATTGCATGTCTCTAATATGCACAGAGGAGGAATGTTGAAAGCTCCCAATGATGCATGGAAACACACTTCCAAGGACCTTGATGAAATCAAGAGAACGCGAGGAGTAGATGTAGAACACAAAACGTTGTGCATGCATGCAATAGTCCTAGGAGAGACGGTGCCAATAGAGGTCTTCTCAAAGAATGTCCATGATGATTGGGGCATCAAAAACAAATTGGACATTAAACACATAGGTAATGGGTTCTTTTTGATTACCTTTGAAAGCAAGGAAGACTTTGAATCTTTTGATGACGATGGTCCATGGTTTGTGAATGGAAACTATGTTGTGCTTATGAAGCACAAAAGTAGCTTTAACTCGTTTCAACAATTGTTGAGGAGGCCAAAATTTGGATCAGACTTCTAGGACTCCTGCTGGAATTCCAGTCCAACGAGGACCTTGAATTATTCTGAAAGATGTTAGAAACTTAGAACTACAGTTAAGTGGGACCTAAATATGGAAAGAAAGTTGTAGGCCATTTACTCATGTGTTTGTGTTATAGTAAATTTAACAAAGCCTTTGGTTCTGATGAATGGGTATAAGTTAAAGAGGAAGAAGCCTTTCGTGTGTAGAGTCTTCAATCTGAGTTTCACTTTGGATAGACCAATGCAGGATGAGCACAAAAGAAAAACCTCTAGGAACCATTTCTCAAGGTTTGAATAGTGGAAAGCCCTAATTATCAAAATTTACTAACAAAACCCGTATGGTCTGACCTAGTTTTGGCACCAATGAACAAAAACAAACCAAGTGGGTGGTTAAGACTAAGTCAAGTGTAGTGCAACTACTTTCAAAAAATCTAGTCCCTCTGGCAGAAATTTGAATGATATTGTAAGTGAAAATTTAGAGAAAGTTGCTCTAGATGAAAGCAGCAAGGACGTGCCTATACCAAAACACGAGGAAGATCAAGAAGACGACCTCATGGGTGGGGAAGGTGAAGTTGAGTTTGAGGAAGCAGAAGGAGAAAGGATGATGTAGAGTACGGATGGGAGAAGTAGGCTGAAAGGATGGATAGTTGAATATCAGGGATAGTAAGGGCCTCAGTTTTCTCACAAACAGTAATGAAGTGCATGGTATGGAACCTTGGGAGAAGGAAGAAAGCTCCTCATTGATAAATCTTTCAAAATTGACTTTTGTTGTTCAATAAAAACTAGTGTTAGTTATACAACTACTCTGGGGTATGATAAACATTTTGTTGTTAATGCTTATGGATTATAGGGGGGTCTTTGGATCCTATGGAAAAACTCTTTTTGTGTTGTAGATGTGTTATTTTTGAATGATAGATTGGTACATGCT